GAGCCTGGCTGTGCTCACGTTTTCTGTCTATGCTTTTCTCTTGTGCATGGTTGCTGCACGCCATGTCAATATCACACGCTACACATTGAGGCACCAGAGAATAGAATCCCACCTATCCTTCATGCCTAGCCCTCCCCAGGCAATGGGGCACACATTGAGAGGCTGCCCAGTGGTCCTCAAGCAACTCCTCACACCAGTGACAGGGCCCTGGGGCATGGCAGGGCATACTGTGTGAGCTCTGACTGCAAGTGTGCTGCGGCAGGGGCTGTCACCTATACCACAAAAGTCTCCAGGTGCTGTGCGCCAGCCCTGCTGCAGCCCAGTTCAAGTATGGGCATGAAGTTATATGTGCATCTCAGATCATTTCCCATCCACAGGCAGTCAGTGGTCCTCTGGGAGGGTAATGGACAGGATAGCTGGAGTTTCAATCCAGGGTCACCATGGTAAACTGGAAAAATGAACAGTAGGGGGAGTGGTCCCTTCTGAGTCACATACACTGACTGTGACTCCAAGAGTAACCTTAGAGGGTGGGGTCACTAGTCCCTGTTAGTGTTTACAGGACTGGGGATTTTAGCCACCAGAGCCAGGAACTGAGCTATGAAGGCCCCACATCATCTCAAATGATACTAACAGAACAGAGGAGGTGGTATCACAATCCACATTCAACACTCAACATATGGAGGCTGAGGGCTAGGAAGCTTGGCCCCTGGGATCCAGGTCTCCACCAAGCCTATTCTCCCCTATCCCTCAGGCCCTTCCCAGTGGCAAATTCTTGATCAGATGCTGGGCCCCAGCAGAGAGGTACCAGTCACAGCCTCAGAAGGATGAACCTCAAAGCAGTACTCAGCATGACCAAGCATGCATTTCAACATGGGACCTGCCTGCTGTTGGGAAGCCTTAGGGTTAACCCTAGACTGAGATGGGGTCCAGGCTCTGAAAGCACTCTATACTGTCCACCAGGCTGCTATGCTCCAGTTGGTCTGGGGAGTAGGGGGGCTGGAGGAATCTTCCCCTTGTGTCCAAACAGAGGAGGTCCTGGGCTGCCTCAGCCATGGAGCTGAGCAGAGCTTAGACTACACAGTGCTCTGGGCCACACCAGAGAGCAGAGCCTGGATTGCCACGAGGGCCACTGTGGGCCAGGCAGAGAGGTGGCTCACTGTAAAACTGGAGCAGACACAAGACCAGGGAGGTCCTCATCACTGGAGACCAATGCATAGGCTAGGGGGCAGGAATCTAGAGGAAAAGAGAGAGACAGGTGAAGGGGGAGCTGTGAGAGGAGGGTGAGCCCAGGAAAGACAGCAGCCAGCTCATACACGTGGGCCAGCGAGACCCAGGGGCAAGAGCAGGACAGTGCAAGAGAGCCCAGAGAAAGCCCCAGGCAGGAGCTGAGGGGCAAAGGCAGAACTGAGTCAGCAGAGCTGGCGGTCCCTTGGCAACATCCTCCCAGGAGGACTGAAGTCAGAACACGGACCCACAGTACTGGCTGATAAGTAATTCTGACAGAGCTCTGACTCCAAGTCACGGGGTGGGAGTGGGGAGCTTGGTGGGGTGGGCAGGGGTCCTCAGATTTAGCAGTCTCCCAGGCCATTCATTCAACAAGAGATTTTCTTGCTGACGATGTGTGTATGGTATTTTAGCATTCAATCCAACACTGACACATTGGTGTAGGACAAGGCACATGAATTTTTAATACAGAACACAATCCTTGAAAGCAGTTCCCTATCAGGCGGCCCTTCCAGACCAGGCCTTAACACAGCTCTGTGCCCTAGCACACTTGAGGCCCATTCGGAGATGCACTTGATACCCAAAACCAGGCAGCTCAGAGTGGAGGTTGTGGCCTTGGGACTGGGTAGTGCCAGTACAATGGCGGAACACTATGACTAAGCACCAAGGCAGGAGTTCTGATTATATTGCAGGCCAGACAAAGTCAAAGGGAGTTCATTTGCTAGACAGCGGTCTCCTAAGAGGCTATAAAGGGACACACAGTCTGTAATTGTTGCTAAATGGTCCCCTAATAGGAGTCCCATTTTCTAGCAAAGCTAGAAACCCCATTATCTGGCAATAGGGAGAGGTTCTGGGCACCACAGGCTCACACACGTGCCCTGCAGGAGAGGGCCCAACAGCCCCAATAATAGTCACTCTGGTGGTGAGCATTCGCTTTGGCCCCTTAATCCTCCCCCAAACACACAGAATAGGGTTCAGGTTCCTAAGCCTTCTTGGATCCTCAAAGGTTCTAGAAGGTTATGGCTGTTAATCTAGTTTCCTAGACCAAGAAATGGATAGAGAGACACAGTGGGTCCTCTGCATCTGGCCTGGACCAAGGGCTCTGTTCAACACAGATGGGGCTTGGCTGGGCTGGGGGGCTTACAACGGATTTGGGGAGCCCAGAGAGCCTGGAGGGATTCAAATCACCTTTCCCAGCATAGTAGGTTTTGTCTGGTTTTGAAACTGCAGATATCTCAGTGCCCTGTCTCCCATCCCAGTGGCCTGGCTAGCAAGCCAAGTGTCCTCAGTGAGAACCCACCCAACAGGTCTGCACAGCAGCCCTCCCTAGCTTAGAACTCTACCAAGTCCCCTGTGTAATGCCCACTACCCAATTACCCCTCTCAGCCATATACAGGCTTGAGACTGGGGCTCAGAGGGGTCAAGGTCCTGCCTGCCCCACTCTATGCAGGCGTCTTAGGTCTGACCTTGTTGCTTCCTGCCCAGCCTCCCTGTGAAGCCCTCCCCTCTACTGACCTCTGAGACTCTCTGGATTCTCTTATTGTCCTGGATGCCCCTGTCCCCTTCTTCCATATATGGACATGCCTTCAGGCTGCCCTGGAGCCGCCTCACCATCCCCAGCACCAGGATTCCACTCCTGGTATGACCTGGGAGATGCTCTGTGTGATGGGGGTGTGGCCCTGTCCCCCAAATCTGGGGTTCAACATTTGCTTTTGTATACACACAGTCACAGTGGGAGCAGGAAGGACAGATGGTGGGCAAGGAAGCTTTGCTCTTTCCAAACAGTCAGGGTTCCTGACAGGTAGAAGTCCCCACAGTCACTCTGATCACAGTCAACATCCTCTACCCTCGGCTCAAACTCAGAGCAAGCCAGCTTCAGACCAGGCTTCCCATCATCAGCTGTGTGACTGGGTGACTCTCACCTTTCCCCTCATTTTTCTATCCTGGAAAATGGGATAGCAATGCCTCCTTCCTTGGGCTGCTGTGGATGGAGTGAGTTGCCTGTGTGAGCATCAGGGCGGGGTCTAGGAAGCAGCAGGAGAAGCTAATCCAGCCCACCCTCTTCCTCCTCTGCTCAAGCTCCAAGGCCAGGGAACCCCTGTTCTCCGTAGCCCCAGCCCCTGTCTTCCCATTCTGTCCCACAGACAGCTTTCACAATAGCAGAAGTCAAGGAGGGGAGAATACAAAACCAGATGGCCTGCTTTAGGAAGCAAGATGAGAGCCCATTAAAAGTGGCTGAGATGCCCTGATAGCCCCCGTAGGTCTCAGTCCTTCTGTTTCAATGACATGCAGGGGAACCTGTCAGCACAAACTGCTCAGGTCAGGTTCCAATGTCCCCCTGAACCCCTGGACAGCTGTCATTCATGTGGTCATCGGAGTTCACACTGCCCTTGGCAGTAGCACCATCCATGTCTCCACACCGTCTGGTGTCCACACTGTCTGGTGTCATCCTCTCTGGGATGCTCAGTCAACACAAGGCCCAGAGCTCTAACACGGCCACACCCCTGGGGGTGTTCCTTGGCAGAGAAGCTATTTCCCTTCCCTTTGCCCTGTGTCACAGATCCTAAAGAAAAGCCATACCTAAATGATTAAGAGGTTAGTTTCTAAGTGAGATTTCTTTGGATTCTAGAACCAGGAACACCTGGTGACCTTCAGGCGGCAATGGAAGGCATAACCTCCCTACTCCTTAGCTCTGATTCAGCAAACACAAACCTTAAATTAACTTTTCAGAAAAGTAACATGTTTGTGGCTGGCCCCAGGGGACTAAGGTTGACCGCAGTGTCTGGCCAGAGTATGTGGGAACAGGGTGACACATGACCCAGATGGTGAGGACCCCTCCCAGCACATAACCTTCCAGTGCCTCTGTCCCCCTTTCTAGAAAAGTCCTCTTGCATACCTCAGTACCCCAACTAAAGATAAGAAATCTAAAAGATAAGAACCCCCTATCTTCTTGGGGCAAGGCCTCTAATAAATTCAATTATCTGTCCCACAAACTCATCTCATGGGTGTTGGCTTTCAAGCTGTAAACAGCTGAGCCTGTATTCAGTAACAAGCTTCTGGGATTTCTCCTTTTAAAGCCACCACTCACACAGCTCAGGGGACCAAGTGCTGATCTTGTGCTGAGTACTGTACAGTGCTGGCACAATTCTCTGTGTGAGATGTGGGCTATAACCCACTTTCCTATGAGGAGACTAAGGACAGAGAATTGAACCAGAATTTGAACTCTGGACTGTCTGAGTCCCCTCCTGTGACCTTGAAGTGCTTCTCCAGCTAGAGTTCAATATGCAGGTTGACTTAACTCTAGTATTCCCCTGACTTCATTCTGAGGACTTCCATGGAGCCAAGACACAGCTACACACCTGCAGGAGGGGTCTCCCCACGGAGACTGGTCTTCCCTGTCCTACTTCCAGATAGTGAGCAAAAATAGGAAATTCACCTCAGACCAAGAGACAGCAGCAAGCAAGCTCAGACGAGAAACCACACCAACCCCAGAGAGACAGCCCCTCCAGGACATCCTCATGCTGCCTCTGCAACTCTGTGGCCAGCAGCTTGGCTACTTCTCCCTGTGCACCTGATGGATGTTGCCCCCAGGACAGGAGAAGACAGATGTGCCCTAGATTAGCAGGCAGGCCCTCCTGCAAAGGCCAGGCTGACAGCCTTCAAGTCCATCCATCAGAATGAACTAAAGCAACACAAGTCTGGGACAAAGACCTCACACTTGGGCCACTGTCCTAATGCAGGAAAGTGCTACGGGTAACCAACATGTCAGCACATACCTTCCTCTTGTTGGTTGGGCAGATGTAGAAGTTGTCGATGACAGTGGTGACACCAGGCTGAAGGGTGAGCTTGGTGTAGGTTGTACCGAAATCCAAGGACCTAGGGGAAAGAGGACAGATGTCAACATGTACCCTCCAGATGTAGAATTTATGGGGTCCACATCATATCCAGCACTGGCTGTGTGCCAGACCCAGCAGAACTGGGCCCTCCCCACCGCAGTGTCCTCCTCTCCAGACTTTCGGGATTGGTGTCTCCTCAAGTGTGGTGTGGCGCTCCCTCAGGTCTATAGCTCGGGCCTAGCACTGGGATCAGCTACCAGGCTGTTCTGACATGAATACCAGTCAGTTGCCTCCTTTAGGACACAGGAGATGTGCCAGTACATCTAAATCATCCCATTTCTCAGATGCTTCACAAAATTCCAAAAGACCATGTCACTATGTCCATCTCACTCACTGTGTGCGTTTGCTCCGTTGCTGGGACAAACACTCTGACCAGTACCAACTTGGGGAGGAAAGGGTTTATTCGGCTTACATTTCCTGGGTCACCGTTCATCGCCGAGGGAGCCCAAGATAGGAAATCAGAGCAGGAACCTGGAGGCAGGCACTGACGCACAGACCGTAGAGGAACACTGCTTACTGGCTTGCTCCCCCAGCCTGTGCTCAGCCTGCTTTCTTATACAATATAGAACCACCTGTTCAGGAGTGGCACCACCCACAGTGGGTGCCCTCTCTGTATGCCCACATTACTCAATAATCAAGTCCAATAATGGAAGCAATTCACCAATTGAGGTTCCCTCTACCCAGGTGTGTCAAATTGACAGTAAAGCTACCCAGCACACTCACACGTGAGCAGCAGGCCCTGAGGGGACAGTGTCCTACCTGAGAACACTCAGTTGACACTCAGGGTTCAAATGCATCTCTGTCTGAAACCAGGCCATGACCTGCTCCCTGCTCAACATGGCCACCAACTGTTCTGAAGCCCTTCAGCACCCATTGGCCCACTACTGCCATCTCTGTATGCTCACCTGCTCCAGGAGCACCCAGGCCTAGGTTGACCTCTGCCTTGAGTACTGGACCACAGGATGACAGAGGTGAGCTTCATGCCTGGCAGGAATCAGACCCCAGACTGCATCACTAGGAGCTGACCCAGCTCATCGTGGGGGACCATACCCATAATTCCACACCACCTTAGTTAAGTCACTTCTGCCCCTTCCTCATCCTTAAAGTGAGAAGATACAGGTGGAAAGTCCCAGTAATTCTCTGAGCACTGAAGCTTCCAGGTCATCAGCAACAAGAGGGTAGAAATCAGTCAGGGACAGGGCAGGTCTGTGCTGAGAGCCACCGATACATCAGGCCATGGAATTAACGCTACACTGAAGGGCAACATCCGAGCCACATGGCTTCCTACCATCACTCTGAAATATGCAGTACCTGCAGAGTTTGCAAAGCACGCCGGGAGGGTCGGTGGATGGGGGCTCTGGCTGTGGAAGGTGCTCCTACCTCAGACCGCAGCACTGTATTGAGCCCAGGCTAGAACCCTGGTTATAATGTTGCTAGCACTCACAGGGGCCCACCTGACCCAGGTGCCCTGGGGCTATGATAGGCCTGGGGAGCTTTTGGCTCCTTCCCACTGTTCCTGTTCACTGTTCCTGCCTCCCTGGACCTTGAGGGGCAGCAGCTCTAGGAAGATGCTGGGTTTACCATCCCTGGGCTTGGTGGTCACATACCCTCAAGGCTGTGTCCTTCATAAATCTCAAGGTCACCAGGTCCCTCCCAGGCCAGGACAAGAGGCAGTCCACTCCCCTGTCTTCTGACTCCAAGAATTGCCCGGTACGGCTGGGGTCTCTGGGTCTGGCTGCTCTGGGAGCTCTCTGGGAGGGCTGGAGCAAGCAGACAAAAATGGCAGATGCACCCGTGGTGTAATCAGGGCACATTTGCTCTGCAAAGCGAGGAGAATTGATTTTCTTTGGGAAGGAGGGAGTGAGAGGCCCCATTAGCAGAGATCGATCCACAGCCCTGGGATGCCCCAGAGCTCTGCAGAAACAATGGCCGATTATAAGCTCAGTGCCCACAGCCTGATGAAGCCAAACCTGCTCTAGGCTGGCCCCTCCCCACTTCACCCTACTGATCCTTTCCGTTGCAGTCCATCCCTTCCCTCCCACCACCCACTAACTCAGCCCAGTCCAGCTGCCCCAGCGTCCAGCAACCTCTTCCCTGTCCCCCTCATCGGAGGAGCTGCCCATAGCTCTTCACCCAACGGTACATGTCAGGTGTGGGCCAGACACAGGGAGCAGAGCTCAAATCCCTATGGTCCAAGACACCTGTGAATGAGGGAGGGGAAGCAGGCGGATGCTGAGAGAGGCTCAGAGACACAACAGCATCTGTGCCCACAGCCACAGGGAAGCAGCAACAGGGGTAAGGGGGACCCCAGGGGCAGGAGGTTGCCACGCAGACTGTCAGGGAGGAGCCGTTGGTCAAAGCAGAGGGAGTAAAAGAGAGGCTGCAGCCGCTGGAGAAAGTCACCTGCCCCAGGTTGGCTTCTGCCCTTGAAAACACCAGCCCAGAATGCAGCTGAGGCCTTATATGAAAATAGACCTTCAGGTGTCTTCAGGCCATGAGATGGTCACACTGGGAGGACCACGTGAAGGCAGAGGCAGGTACTTGGGGACTGGATACCTGGGGGCTGGAGGATGTGAGACCAGATTCTCCACCAGCCAGCAAAAGAGCCAGCCCTGAGACACTGCCATCTCTTAGGAGCTGAACTTTCCAGAATAGTGAGAGGGGCACGTCCAGCTACTTTAGTCACCATACAACAGCCACAGGACACAGATATGAAATTCTGGAGAGACAGAGTCACACAAGGAGAGACAGACAGACAGACAGACAGACAGACAGGTGGATGGATGGACGAATGGGTGGTGGAGAAACAAAGAGGGGAGAGACAGAGTCAGAAACAGATGAAGACAGACTGACAGACTGACAGAAACATAGATGGAAGACAGACAGATCCAGAGCAACATGTCGAGAGAGAGAGAGAGAGAAAGAGAGAGAGAGAGAGAGAGAGAGAGAGAG